CGCCGCCGAATGAAATATGCGGCGGGGCCGTAAAGAAATTAAATTAAACAATTAAACCAGGCCCTCCGATAGGGAGAATGTTAATTGTCCGGAGAATAAAACAATTTCTCTCGTGCAGCTTTGCCCCCGCTCTCCCTCACCTCCCCCTTCGCTCCTTCCCCCGCCGGCATTGTTTCGAGCGCCAACAATACCGTTCAGATTTTATTCAGCCTGCTGTGTAATTAAACATTTCTAGTCGTTAACCGTTTGAAAAACTGACTAACCGTATAACACCCGGCGAATTTCCCCGGAATCGGACAAACGGAAAATACATATCGTGCGTGCCTTTCGCGTTTGTTTCGGCCGTTTTCTGCGGCCACGCTGACACATCCAATTATACAGTGTTTTTCACCTGAGATCACAAACACGCGCGTGTACACCACATACGTGCATCTTCTTCAGTGTGAAAACGTAGCAAATACTTTCAACAATTTCCTTCGTGGTCATTCTTGTCGGAGACTTTCAAGTTCCTGTTAGCAATCGCTAGAAATTATTACTGTAGCGATTCGCTAGAAAATGAAGCTACAGTAATGGCTCCCAAATTGACGCTTAGATTGTCCACAGAAATGGACAATTTGGGAATTAATATATAAAAAATTATTATATATAAAATTAATATATAATAATATATTATATTATAATATATAATATATAATAATATATTATATTATAATATATAATATATAATAATATATTAATATATTATATAAAAAATTAATTATAAAAATGTGTCGTCTACTACTTTTGTTAAAATTTCAAATCTTCGAAAAAATTGTCGATATTCAAACAGCTACAACTTTCTGCAAAAAAATCATACAACTATGGAACTCGGCTCATTTTAAAGCCTGAAGTGTCTACTTTCGGAGGCCGTCCGGCACTTTCTTTAAAAAAATTTATTTGCGGCGCAGTAGATGGGAAACCTCGTCCTAGACTTTACGCGAAATTTATAACCTTCGAAACATCGACGATATTTAGAATACTGTAAGTTCGTGAATAAAAATCGCAGAGCAATAAAACTAAACGCATTTTAAAGCTTGAAGTCTCTACTTTTGCACTGTGTAATTCATTTTCGTTGAAAAAATTGTTCGGAGAGACGGCACGCAGAAAACTGCAAGACTCGCAAGACTCGAATTCGGAAGGCTCCTCTTCCTAAATTGTCCATTTTAGTGGGCAATCCAAGCGTCAGTAAGGGAGACATTACTGTACTCTCTAGACATAAAGTAGCGCGTCATGCTCGTGTCACCCGCGACAAGTAGAAACAGTAAATAATAGTCGGACAGTGGAAGCACAGCGAGAGAGAGAGAGAGAGAGAGAGAGAGAGAGAGAGAGAGAGAAAGAGAGAGAGAAAGAGAGAGAGAGAGAGAGAGAGAGAGAGAGAGAGAGAGAGAGAGA